TCTGTTGTCCTACATCTGACAACCCCTCGATAAGTCCATCAAATCGTTAACATCCGTGTACATTACACTCTTAATCTACTCCGTTTATCGTCCAGAATCATAAACCTTGCGTAAACATAATCTAGTTCTACCCTCTACGGGGCTGCTTCTTACTGCCGCAAGTCCTCCACTTCTACCGCGCTTCAACCCCCCAGCATCGTTAGGTTCGAAACAAGACGAAACGAAGGGAAGGAAAAAGGGAAAAGAATCGGCTTGGATTAGATAAGAGGTGGCGAAGGTTGTCGTGGAGTGCAGAAGCGGTAGTAACACGCAGGGGGCGGGTCAGTCGGATGCAGTGCGCGGAGCAGACGCGGCGGTAGGTTGCGTGGTGCAAGGTAGGTTGGCTGGCTGGTTGGTTGGTTGGTAGGTTGGTTGGTAGGTAGGAAGGAAACGTTTGCACATCCGGGACCGGGCGTAACTATCGAAGCTATATACCTACACGGCTATACCAGGCAGGAGGACGTAATTACGCGCGTTCTGCCAATATTGGTTAACCTTTCGAGGTTGACGCCACCATATGCAAAGCCCCTAATGAGTCGCTCGAGTGGCCCCGGTGTCTAGTATTACGCGCTCATCTCTGCCCCCGCTTCGCGTCGTTATTACCTACTGAAGGTATTCGACGATATCCTCTCTTTTCCAACCGTTTACCACCCTATATACGCTGCAAGCCACCGACGCGCCCGGACCACCCTTTTCCTCCTCGTCTGCTCGATCTCGTGTTCCGCGTTTCCAAATTTGCGTACGTTTTCGTCCTCGGTCGCTGGGCGATAAAACGCCCGTCTCTCTCGACCCCAGAGGGTGAATATTGGTTTCGATTTGCTCGACCGTGCTTGAAAATTGCCTCCAAGAACAAAACGTTTCTGCGCAGTTTGTGAAACGGTAACCCGGTCCACTTTACCGTGGGAGATTTCAACGCAAAATGAACATCTATATTTTTAATGATACATTAGAAAGATGGTATACTCTCATCGATAACGTCACTGTCGTCGTCCGAGATATTATAACACCCTAAGGCTTAAGTTTATCCCTCGATCCAGAAATCCTTTGTTCCGAACAGAGTATGAAATATTTCCGCGACGAACCGTTTCGAAGCGCAGGCAGAATCGAAATGGTGAACGATAAGGATAAAAAGGACAAGAAATATGTCCCCGGTAGATTTACAATTGCGCACGAAGCTCAAATCGACGAGAGTATTCGTGAACTGGATTTGGATGGATCGACGAGAGCAATCACGAGCAGGATAACCCACGCAGGCCGGATTCCTCGCGATCCTTCGGCGTGCTCTCCTCGACGGGAGAGAACGATAAGGCCGTGTCACGGAGTTTTACGTACGCTGAGATCGTGGCAATCTCTCTCCGCTAACAGAAGGGAAGACGAGCTTTCGTCGTTCGAGCAGGCGCTCGAGCTTCTGCTCGTTCATTGTCGCATCTGCATTGCATCGAGCACGACTAGCGTGGACGATCGCGTCGATACATCCCAGAACGATTCTCCGTTGGCACGCAACGCCACGCTTCGTATGTAAATCGGCACACATCGACCTGTACACGTCCGTGACTGTGTCCGTGTGTGCGGATAATTGCGCGGCAACGGCGTAGCCCCATCGCGTGGGTGGCAGTCGAAATTGCGCATATCAATGAAGGGGTCTCGAGCGCCGATTAAATCTAGAGAGGCAACGGCCGCTGTCAATTTCTAACTTCCTCCCGGACAGCTTATTCGCGGAACGAGTCGTCACGTTTTCAACGATGCTCGCAACTTTCCACGAACTGTCGCCGTTCACGTGATTTTCGGACAAAGGAGCCTCGAATTTTAGTGCGTCGTTGGGAGCGACAGTTTGCCCGGTTCGCATGCAAGCAAAACTTTTTCCGTTCGACGTACAACTTTTCCCTACTCTGCTCGCTTCGACTCATGAATAGTTCTCCCGGTTAATTCGATGTTTGAAAAAACTGTTTGGCCCTAATAAGTAATTACGAAACTGTGCCACGCTTCGGCATTTGCCATTACGCTCGCGTGTGCACTCATGCATCTCCATATCAAGAATTATCTCTTCGACGCTTGTGAACATTCAATTCATTTTTAAATTCATCGACTAAAAATAATATCGGTGGCCTTATACTATTCCTTCAGTATATATAAATAAAATAAGTAAAATGTAATTACATAAAAAAATCTAACAGCAAGCGTTAAGCTCAAGAAAAATTTCCCTTCATTTTCTTTGTACCTGACTCCACATCGACCTCGTCCTTCTATCCATTTTCTTTTCGTTGTTAGAGCAATCTCCTACGATCTCGATCGATTGGACGTTTTCGAAGTTCCACGTTAAAAAAGGCGGAATGAGGAGGATGGGGAAAGGTACAAACAAAAAGGCGGCTGATTTTATAGAGAAGGTACGAGAGACGTCGGCCGCCTTTCCCTTGTCAGAGGGAGTTTAATAGAGGGTGAAACGTCCTCGAACTTTCACGAGTCCGTTTCCTCGGGATCGCTAGGTTCTTCGTCCCTATCGAGTCGCGGTCATCAGCAACGTCTTCAATGTGGATTGCGGTAATGACGTCCAACTAAGGGCTGAACCTTCCCAAAAGGGAATTACACAACCTTTTGTTTCCTCGAGTCTGGTTGGGAGAATCCGATCGTTGGCTTTTCACTCGATCTATCTTGATCTTCGTTTTCCTTCGATTTATCTCCATTTTCTTTATCTTGGCTCTTGTGGAATTTTTAACCTATTGTCTGCTGCAATAATGGTCACTATTTTGAAATTCACGATTTAGTCTTAACTTTTCAAATCATGAAAATACTTCTGAAAGATTATTAAGATTATAGAAATTCGTTGTTATTGTTAAAGAACACAATATCCAGAAGCCTTCAATCGTAGCTCAATAAACACAGTTCCCCAAAAAGGCGATAACGAATGTCCGAAGAGTAAATCTCGGCTACACGAAGATCATCATCAAGTACCATTTTATTATGGTACGGTGCATCTGAACAAACGAAAAGGTTTCGCGTTCGTTTTATCGCGAATCGTAAATTGATAAAGCACGAACGGTAATTTGGCATTCGTAGCCGCGATAAATAAACGTCCAAGTAGACGTTCGGTACCGACGAAAATTTTACGGCCGGCTTACCTTTTGAACGGGAATCTATCGTGTTTTACGTCCTCGCCAGACGAGATCATCAAAGATCCTTTTTACGCGGACGCGAGTTTATTCGAATGGAGACGTTTTCCCGAGTCTAAATCGCGTTTTACGATCGCGGCTATCGGCTCGATTCTGTTCGGGCGAGCGCAACAAATGGTCCGATGAAATCTTCCGTCCGGGGTTATAAGTTTAGACGCGATCTAATCTCGGCCTTTCGCCGCCCGAACGACCAAAGGTATCCCCCGAAAATATAGCCCGCGTTACCGTTCACGGTGCCACTCAATTTCCACCTTCGAAATTCACCGGGATGTGGTATTCCTCGCAAGGTCTGATTAACGTTAAGTTGCAAATACATATTGTTAAGAATCTAAAGGTATAGTAAACTAGGAGTGTAGCAATCTAAAGGTAAAAAGGAATAGTGGTGTATATAGGAAACTCGGGACACAGGGATTTATGGATACAGGGGTGTAGTTAACCATAATACCGGAAATTTCAATTTCTAATAAACTGAATCGAACGGTGTAAAAATAATGAAAGATCGCAAAGGGTTAATCGTTCGGTTCCCTTTACGCGCAACCCTCTCGACGCTGATTCGAGCAACCCTCTTGTCAGGCAGCGTCACGCTTCGAATACAATGTCGTTGGTAACCACCGCCTCGAACAGCGATACCACCACCATCGTCGCCACCCTTCCACGGCCGATGGATCGTCGATAGGTATTTTAGGCTACAGTATATAATGGTACATACCTATAACAGCGTCGCGTGGGGCTGTCCCGACGGGGGAGGACACGGGACGAGCGAGAAGGAGGACGAAGAACGAGACACAAGGGTTAAAGTGAGACGCGAGACAGGAGAGAGGGGGATCGATCGAATCGCCATTACGGCGAGTGAGTGCCGGGGTTACTCGATGGAATCACGCCGCCGCTAGGGGGTTTATTCTCCGTATATATTTGCCGGAGTATCACCCTCGACCCAGTAGGATGTCGCACCCCTATACCGGAGGGTTCGATGTTCCAGCGAAGGAGAGAGAGCACAGGAAAGGGAGGAATAGATCTAGGAAGCCTGGTTGTCGTGTGGAGCACTTCGGACTTGCCAAAATCTGCGGGGAATTCGCACCCCTCGACAGGATGCCACTTTTCGAGTGGAGTGGCTCGCCTCGACAAATGTTGAACAATGCTTACGTTTTTCCTCACGAGGTCCTCCGTTTTCTATTAGAATGTCACCTGTACTTCTTCCGAAACACCGGTGTCTAACACCTCATTGTCCAAATTTCGTGTCCACCTTTAATAACGTCACAAAGTATCTTTCATCCCCACCTTAGTCTAACCAAAAAAATAATCAGCTAAATAAAATAGGACAGGCGTGAAAACTTTTACGAACGACTGTACACACAAGCGATCGATCTTATTAAATTAAACGATCAAGCGGCAATGAGATTGCCATTTAATGAGGCAAGCGCCACCGATGGTCATTAACGACAGACGTCATGAATTTAATTAGATCAAACAGATTATCGAAGAAGTCAAGACTTTAAATACTATTAACATTTTCCGAGCAAAATGCACAGTTGACTCAACATTAAACTGGATAATTAAATTAGAAGATCGAGTGACCCTATCGTATCTAATCTATCGGAAGTCTATTAATAAACGATACTCGCTGCAAACCGATTAAAATTCAATCCCCGATGTTAGCTAACGTTTAAAAGCTGTATAACGGTTGTCCGAGTTCAGCAATATAAAATTTGGAATTTAGCACATCAGCGCGTTCGTCACTTGCACACCCGCTGCCGGAAACAACGTCGATTCACGCGAAACGATTCGATGTTTCAGATATGGCGCCGGATACGACCTGGCAGCGCGGCGGAAGAACGCGACGAGGGAGTCGACGGCTACCTTGAAGGCCTGGTTGAACGAGCACAAGAAGAACCCTTACCCGACCAAGGGCGAGAAGATCATGTTGGCGATCATCACGAAGATGACGTTGACGCAAGTGTCCACTTGGTTCGCGAACGCGCGAAGACGCTTGAAGAAGGAGAACAAGATGACCTGGGAGCCGAAGAATAAGACCGACGACGACGATGACGCTGTTCTCACGGATTCGGAGGATAACAAGGAGAAGGATGATTTATCGGGAGACAATCAAGGTGACAGAGTCGGAGAGGAGGCGAGGAGAGGCCTCGAAGAAAACGGTGAGTTAAAAACATCATGCTGACACGATAATTATGACTTTGTTAAAAAAAGAACGAACGTATGGTAACAGATCGCGAAAAACACGTGCTTGAACGATGATAACTCGAAATAAAAGGGCGCAATTTTTGTAATAACTGCAACTCGGTCTCGTAACTAGATCGCGAGTAGTTATGCAAATTTATGTTTTCATAAAGTATTTCCTTCGTTCCTATGATTTTTATCTTAATTCACAGATTTTGCATATTTTTCTCGTTCTGAGCAATTTATTACATTTTCTTGTAAATACCATATGATTTACATATATTTTGCATGCTCCTTGTGCGCTATAAATACATTAACGTAAACAATCTACTCATGACGCTTTGACAATGATAAAATTACCAGCAAAAGCGATAATTGTCGATGGTTTGCTCGCAATTACCGGTTCGCCTACCTACGACAACGCATCGAAACACAAACAATCCTACCGAATACCTGCGATTTTTCGTTCGTGAATCATAGTCGAGCAAGAAATTTTTCTGTCTTACGTACATCTTCCTCGTTCGGAACAATACACGGTTTTTACGTGGGCCGAACTTTGTTTGGTCGTGTTTCACGTGCCTTGCCAAGTTTACTCGATAACCAGGCATGCGTGTAACGGCACGAAACGGGAAATGCAATTGTCTATGCGCTCGTGTGTCCTCTTCGGCGGCGAAAGAATGCTTAGGATAACCGGTTGGAATCGCGGAAGAATGGCCGCCATTAGGGGCCAATTATCGATATTTCAATGCGAGTCGCTGAACACCGCGCCGCACCGCGTGCAATACCGCCGGGTTAACAGAGTCTTGGAGAGGGTGAACTCGACCCACGATACCGTACTGATCTGTTCGACTCGGAATGCCGGTAGCGTGTACCAGCTCGCGTGACTAGTTTCCTCGATATCGAGTACCCATCGGTCGGCGTTTCTGATATTGCACAAGCATCCATTCCACAATAAGCCGAACAGTACGACCTCACCCTACATGGTTCGCCAACTACTCGAGTAGATCGCTCGCCAGATCCAAGCATAACCTTCCATCAAAATCCTTGGACGGACTTACCCTCCATCACTTTCTAAAACCTACTCTAATTGCGTTTCACGATTTCCAAAGACTCTGATGGTCCAAACTGATCAAGATTAATATCTGACTAAAATTCATTTGAGACTTGGACCTCAATACTAGGTACATAAGTCTTGTACAATACTGGTTATTCTGGCTAGATTGAGAAATCATCTTCTCGATAATAGAACACGTGAACAATTAACTCTTCAGCACTCAAAGTTTCAAGAGCTCGTTAAATTCATAGGTCTGACACAGAGAACATCGCGATCTCGTTTGTTGGAAACAGCTAGTAAATTCGTTGTACAAAGTCGAATTTCTCGATCGCACCCCTGGCGCGCAGCAGCCATCGTCCTGCCCGATAGGCTACTTATTCAGGCATTTTGCCCAACGGCCGGAAACGGTGAGTTAGAAATTCGCTTCGAAACCGGCCGTGTGTCGGGCTCTATATCGCGGAGGCGGACATAATGGTTCACATGTGGGTAAACACAGTGACGGGTTGCGGGTTGCCGCGCAAAGAGATTAATGGCCTTCGGTTTGGTCCCCCGGTGGACCGGGTCGGTTCGTCGTCGGTATTGGTACGGTCGTGGCCGAGCTCTCGCGCTTGTGCGCGTTGCACACGCATACTGCTGCACGCGTGCTTTCGCTATAGGGTTTGTGTAAAGGTGTCTATTCAACGGCGAACGGTTCGATGTTACCAAGAAACTCGGAAACATTTTACAACGCTGTCTATTCACCAACGTCGCTTGTAACAAATTCCTGGACACTTCTTGCATCTATGTATCTTTCGCACAATAAATTCGAGTTGTTGGTACGCTTCTATCACTTTTGCACGCTTCTGACTTGCTTGAAGAACTTCTTGTAGCATTTGACCGTATTCAAGATGCTTTCAGTCGGGTAGTTCAACAATTTTTTCTGTCTTTTGGGTACCTGTGAGGGTGCTTAGGTAGTCATTAAGGAGACTTGGTGTTAATTGAAATGCGTTATGTTGGATGAAAACATTTGTCGATAATGTTAAACAGCAAATGGAGGTTGGTACGTACAGGCAAATTAGAAACAGTAATTGTCGATTTCTGGAAAGAACAATTGATGTTTGCAAGTTGTGAAGAGCAGTGGAGACGCACCTTAATGTTAGCTGGATGGTGCGCGCGCGTTCCAACGCTCGTCTCCCTAAGCGTGTGTCTCTGTGAGTGAGAGGCGGAGGGTGCGCCCGGGCTGAGTAGCCATCCGTAGGACCATATACTACACTTCGTGCCACAGGCTCCATATATATACATGTACATGTATATACTCGTTGTGGATGTATATAGATACAGTGCAGAGAGTGGTGGTTCGAGGCACTGTGATGTATCGGCGCCCGCGGCGAGACGAATGGTACAGACCCTCCTATGGCCACCATTACCCCACCGCACATTGGCCAATATCGGTCCTCTCCCTTGCTTCTCTCTTTCTCTCTCCCTCTCTCTTTCGCCTCCTCTTTCTCCTCTATTCGTTGCCCTCCGCCACTCTTGGCCGAGTCCCTTCGATTCTCGGGGACATTTAGGTGTTGTGTCGAGAGCTGCGTCACGCGCATCCCGCGATGCCTCGTAATTTTAAAGGACTACCTCGGAAATAAGCCCTCCGAAAATCCGGCCAGTGCCTGTAGGAAACCGATTTGTTTTCTATTCCTGGCCCTCGATGTTCCTTCCAGGCCCGCACACGCGCAAGGTGATTTGTGATCGCGTATGAATATCCGAATGTCGGAGCTCCGCTTGGTCCTATTGGTAAGGATAAGAGTTATCGACCGAAACCAAGCGTTACGGTGAATGCGGATTCAAGTGTGGCTCGATTCAAATTCGTTAACTCTTGCGATCACGTTTAACGTTGAATTATCGTGGTGTACGTCCCATTTCATTTTTTGTATCGACAACGAAATACGACTACTAAGATGCGTATAAATATCGATGGAAGAACATCCAACGTAGAGTAGAAATTAAAAAATTTAATCGTGGCAATTGGTGGTGTTCGAGATACGGAGGAGGCCGGCGCGAAGATTATGAGATTAACGTCTGATAAAAGGGGTCAAAAGTTAAAGAGCCACTTGTGGACTCGACGGTGGTATCTATTTAGTTGGCCCATAAGGTTCCCTTTTATAAGGGGGCGTACGCACCCTAAACCTAAACTCTCTGTTTGGCTGTATCTCTTTCCGTTTCACCCTTCGTCCGTCTATTTCGCCGTTTCTCTTTCCCTCTAACGGGGCTACCGGCCCCTTGCTAGCTTGGGAATTATCGCTTGACGACCCATCAAGTAAACCCTCTGCCGACTCATTCGAACCTCTTAATGAAATTCTCACCCCTGACTGACTGGCTGGCTTGGCTCGATGGCTGGCTGGCTGGCTAGCTGGCAGACGCTTGGGACGATCCTAGAGTGCCCCGAGAGAGTCGAAACAGAGACGGAGAGCGACAGAGAGAGAAAGAGGGAGACGAAAGGAAAGGGAAAAAGATACAGCTTTTCCGTTCTCCCTTTCTGGCTCTCTGCCTCGAGGGGAAACTAAAATCTCTCGCGCCTCAAAGTGGTTGAAGGCTTCGCTCCCTTTTTTTCACAGCATCCCTTACAGCTTAACCGTATAAGGGGTGCAAGCGAGACGCCGCCGTGTCTCCGTCGGCGTCGTCGTCGGCGAACCCTCGCAAACCGAGTGTCACCGATACAGGGACTCGCGTGGATTTCGCTTTCACACCCGGGATTATAAACCATTAATTCTGACATCGAGTCGGGGGTCGAATAACGAGGGGCTAGCGAGCGTAATGCAATATATCCCCCCTTGACCGTACTGAATTTTCTATTAGTTCCGTGGAAAACACTTTCCAGCGTATTTTCACGAATCTCCAAGGGTGAAGAGGTTTTTACGAGCCATTAAGTTCGCCTTTTATTCGATACGCTTATCGGCCCGCGTATATATACGTATTCGCGTTTATGACCGACAGGAATATTTCTTTTTATTCCCGTGGCTCGGCGATGCCCGGCTCCTTTCCGCCGTCGACCATCGAAAGCTCGCGGGCAATTTAGTAAATTGACGCGACCCGTCTGTTTGCAGAGCCGATGAGGCACGTGAAAGCGGAGCACTTGCAGCACGACAAGGACCTCGACGAGGAGGACGACCTGGATCTCGAGGAGGACCCGCGACGAGGAGAGCATCCCTTTCACCACGCGATGCAGCACCACCACCACCATCACCAAGGATACACCGGAGAGGACCACCTGAAAGACGAGGGCATCAAGTCCGACTGTAGCGCCGCCGGTGTACCTATACCCGCGACCAAACCTAAAATCTGGTCCCTGGCGGACACGGCAGCCTGCAAAACGCCACCGCCACCCTCGCATCCCCATCACCAACAGTACCACCACCTCCACCATCAACAACACTACGGTCAACAGCAGCAGCAACAGCAACAGCAGCAACACCATTTGACCAATCAGACCCACCACCATCACTCTCAGCAACCTTGGCTCGGTTCTGGTGGCGGAGGCGGTACCGGAGGCGGTGGCGGTGGCGGAAACCTGAGCTCGTTCGCGTTGCCCTCGTCAGCGTCGATGAGTCCCTCCGCAGCAGCGACCGCACCGTATTCGAGCGCTGCTACGAGGTACGGTGGTTTTCTCTCGTCCTCGTCCGGAGGTCAGCTCCATTACAACCCCAACTCCTCTTCCGGCTCGAGCTCGAGCGCGT